CTTAGGGAGAACTGACATTTTGATCTTTGAAGATTCTAAACAAGAGCAAGGAATATCTTTCCATTTGGTAAAGTCTTCTTTTGTTAAACAAATATGTTTGAGGAAATATATTTGAAAACTGAACCAGAGATTACTTTCATGCGAAAGGTAAAACCAGGAAGTCTGTTTTACTTTCCAATAAATAAAAGCAGCAGTTTGAAAACAATAGTAGCTGGAGGTGTAGTTCAGTGCWAGAAATCATGCTTAGGAGGCACAAGGCCCTGGGTTCAATCCCCAGCACCAAAATAATCATAATTTTTACATCCTAATTATCTTTAATTGTGTTCAGGAATCATAAGCATCTTGCTCCACAGCATTCAAGTTGCTTAATATCACTTCCTTGAGTGTGCTTTATGAAGGACAATTTGCTTCTAGGTATGAATAATAAGCCTAGTCACAATAAGGCTTTTGTTTTGTTTTGTTTTATGAAGATGTCTTGGATCTCTTTGAACATCTATCTGAAAGCTATGGATTCACTTTCCATMAATATGGGAACTTTACACAATTTTTCTAAAGGTTGGAGGGGAAGGCATTGACTCCTTGAAGCCAATCCTTAAGATTCTAGTTTTGAATTCCTGCCCTATGGGTTATATTTTACAGGATTATAGACCTAGAGATGGGTAGGCAATATTTGGATTTGGGCACTTCACACCCTGACAGTAATTCCTATAATTCCTGCTTCTCTCTTCCTTCTGAGGGCTTTATTACTTAATTTGGTTCTAAGCAAGTTTTATTTGGGCAAGCAAAGTCCCACCAAGAAGATACTAAGGGAGTTCCTGGAAAACTGGTAGGAGAACTCCTCCATTGATGGTTCTRTGAATTCCATGTCAGGAATCTAAACTTTAGGGTGGTAGATCCCTTGTTTAGAATGCATAAGGCCCATGTTTCATCCCCAACACTGAAAAAAAAAATAGAAACCTTAGATTCAAATGATTTATACAGGGCTGGGGCTGTAGCTCAGTGGTGGAGCACTTGCCTAGCACATATGAGGCACTGGGTTTGATCCTCAGCACCACATAAAAATAAATAAATAAAATAAAGGTATYGTGTCCATCTGCAACAACAACAAAAAAAATGTTTTAAAGGTTTTTACATGAGGGCTGGGGGTGCAGCATAATGGTAGAGCATTTCCCTGGGTTTGATCCCAGGTTACACCATAGATAGACACACACACACACACCTCAAGTGGATTTATACACTGAGAGTAAAGTACTTGATGGCATGCCATACATATTCTGAGCATTAACCATACCTGTGATGCCACATGTTGAGTTTTATTTCCTTCAGATTAGGACATCTCACTGCAGACTTGGCAATTCAATTGCTACTGATGTCACCAGTATCCTTCAGATTCCCACAAACACTAAATCCAAATACTACAGTTAGGGGCAACAGAGACACCCCTAGAATTCTGGGGAATTATGATCCTCTCCAAGCTACTGGATACATTCCCACTTGGTCTCACAGTCTCAAGACCTACACAAGATGCTTGCTGGGAGAGGGTGATATATGTGCATATAACATCACAGAGTTTACCATTGTAGAGTTCAAATTTTATTGAGACAAAGGGAATCACTCAAATGGAATGGCATGATCAKATCTAATTTGGGGGAGGCAAATCACTGTATTTCAGTCAAGTTGTGGTGGTAGTGTGGAGAGATCTTCTGAGACAAAAAGAAGGCTGCATTAGAGCCACAGTGAGTGTCTTAAAAGACAGTGGCTGTCACAAAATAGAACTAAAGGAATTAGACTAAATGGTAATTGGATACATTTGACATGGGGGGGGTGGGGTATTGGAACATGGAGGCCCAAGTCTCTTTCTCCCTAGCTAAATGATCTCATTCAAAGGCATTTTCCGTCTCCTGCCTCTCTGAAACAAAAATAAAAATGTTCTTAAGTCCCAAGTGCTACTAATATGAAGGCACGGATAAGGAAAAGAAAGGAGAAAGTGGATAGTAAAAATGTCCTTGTGGTTAAAAGGCTGCATTGTCATGATGCTTTATGATTTCTGAGGTATTGGCTTAACCCAGGCTTTTTCTTTGTTTTCCCAAGCAGTGAGGATCAAATCCAGGGCTCTCTACCACTGAACAACACCCCCAGGACTTTTTATTTTTTATTTTGAGATAAGGTTTCACTAAATTTCCCAAACTGGTCTCAAACTTGCAACCCTCCTGCCTCAGCCTCCCAAGTTGCTGGAACTATGGGTTTGTGCACCTTGGTTAACTAAGATTTTTTATTTGTCCAAGGCCAAGGCAGGCTTGCTAACAGTGAACATTTATGTAAAATGTTTTTATTTTCAAAATAATTCTATTTTTATTCTCCTTTTACTCATCCAAAAATAACTTTTTTATTTGTTCCATTGGGTCAAATGGCARTTTGTTTTGGACCACATTAAAACCATTTTCCAAAGTTTTGCCATGGCTTGAGTTTCCAAAATCACTACAACTTTTGTGGATTTATCAAAGATTATTTATTTTATTATTTAATGAGTAATAACATACAAACAGTAAAGTATATAAACAGTACTAATCTTAAGTATACAGGTTGAATTTTTGCATATATACATATCCAGTTAACCACCACCATTTAGTTAGAACATTTTGTGTACTTCATGAAGTTCTCTTGTATACTTTTCAGTTTAGTCACTGAAAGATTAATCACTATTCTGACTTCTATAAACATTCAAGTCTTGCTTGTCTTAACCTTTGTATATATAGAATCAGAACTCATTTGTGTCTGGCTTCTTTCATTCGACATAGGATTTTCGAGATTTTTCCATCTTGCTGGAGCTGATCCATTCTTCCTTTCTTCCCTCCTTCCCTCTTTATTCCTTCTTTCCTTCCTTCCTTTTCTTTTTTTCCTTCTTTCTTTCATTAGTGAGTGAATCCAAGGTCTCACAAATGCTAGGCAGATGTTCTACCACCAAACTACATCCCCAGCCCCCAACTCTCCACCCTCTCTTTTTTTTGAGACAGAGTCTTGCCAATTTGCTGAGGCTAGCCTCAAACTTGAGATTCTTCTGCCTCAGCCTCTCGAGTAGTTGAATTTACAGTTGTGTGCCRGGCTTATTAATTCTTTTTAAATTGAGATGTAGTGTTCCATTGGATAAGTGTACCACAATTTATTTATATGTCTATTCATGAGCATTTGGGTTGTTTCAGCTTTGGGATACTATGAAAACAACCATTAAAACCATATATTACACGTATTTGGTTTATAAACCATATAAACACGTATTTGGTTTATAATCCAGCAAATCTATTCTTTACACTTAGGTATAAAGAATAGATTTGCTGGATTATAAACCAAATACGTGTTTAGCTCTGGTAGAAACTAACAAGGGCTTTTCCAAAGAGACATTATTTTGAGAGCCCCACCACTAATGTATGAGAGTTCTGTATCCATGAAAAAAGTTGATATTATCAATCTTTTAAATTTTAGCCTTTTAGGTGCTCACTTCAGCAGCACATATGCTAAAATTGGAACAATACAGAAAAGATTCAGATGGCCTTGTGCAAGGACAACATGCAAGTTTATGAAGCATTTCATATTTTTTTCTTACTGATATGCAAATGATGTTTATTGTTGTATTGCAACCTCGGACAGTCTTACATCACAACTGTTGCTATGCTACTTGGAAAAAAATGAAAACAATAACAGGAAAGATTGAAAGAAAGCATACCATAACAAGCTAGAATCTTTTTTATTATTATTATTTTAATCTGGGAGCAAAGCGGGTGTTGCAAAGTATCTTTGTTACTTGTGACAACAATCAACATACATAGAAGCTTTGTACAACCTAGAGTGTTTCCAATGACTGTTGCTTCTTTCAAGGTGAAACAGAACTTATTGCACCCTATGAAAAAGACAACTACTTAGCCTAATTGGGTGGGTGAGGGTACTCTCTGTTTCATGGTAACCATAAGCACATATGTGGGCAGATGGACAAGGTCTGAAGGTCTACTTAGGGACCTGTTTTACATGCCTTCCAACCTTATGCCCATTTTTTTTTGTTTTTGTTTTGAATGTATTTTAAAAAAAGAAAAAAGAAAAACAAAATCTAAGGTTGTAGAATGAAAAATTTCTCCAAACTTAGATCCCCTCACTTGGATTTATTTTAGACTTTAGGATAAAAAAAAATGTTTTTGCCAAGTTGTGCCTTTCCTTCTGAAATTGTAAATAAGTTGCTGCTTATTTAAAGACAGTCCATTTGAAGGTCCAAGACTAACAACCACTCCCCACGAGTYCAGATGCCTTCATCTTCCCCAACACCAGAAGAGGTAGCACCTGTTGGGGATTCTCAGGTGACTTGATGTAATTTGCCAGTGTCTACTCTATTGAAGAACTGCATTTTCATTCTTGAGAAGAAACTCATAGAAGGGTGTACTTCCTATTGCAGATTCTTATTTTTTTTTAAATTTTCCCTAAGCAATTTATGCCAAGTAATAATGAAAATTTTTATTTTTCCCTGAGCTAAATGAAGGTTAACACAATTAGAACAGGGAAGTCTTGGGTGTGAAAGCATTAATTTATTTACATGATTTATTTTTTTTAATTTTTGTAGCCATAGCCTGTATTTCCCTATTTTATGACTGCTAAAGTATTCCCAGGCCCTGCTTTAAACCTAAGAGTTTTCATATTGATGGGAACAGCTAGACACTGCCATTGTCTTTGTGATTCCTTTTTTAAAAACTCCCTTTTATGCATGTAATAATGTAGAGTAAATGATGAATTATTTCTCTAATGGTTAAATGAGGAAGGAGAAATAAACACCAATGTTGGGGCTGAGGATTTTTTTCTGGCTGTGTGGATGCCCTTATTGAAATGTGGATMGAGACTGTTACTCAAAAGTTTTATCTCTTAGTTATTGCACTTGACTTTAGAGTAAAAAAAAAAAAAATGTTTTTTGCCAAGTTGTGCCTTTCCTTCTGAAATTGTAAGTGAACACAGTAACAGTACCTGTTTAACTGTGCCATAGATGTTGTTACAGAGAACACACCAGTGGCTCTCACTGTTGAGCTCACAATACCTAGCAAATATGTAATCTATGGAGAAACCTCTGCAGAACCTGCTGATGCTGTGTGTCTGTTGGAAAATAAATTTGAAATATTTGCCCCTCCCCTGGCAAAAAAATTCTTAATCTTTCTGGCCAGGTTTGGTAGTACACATTTACAATACCAGCTATTGAGGACACTGAGGCAAGAGGATTGCAAATTCATGGCCAGCCTGGGCAAAATAAAAAGTAAAAAGGTAAAGTGCTGGCCTAGCCTACCTCAGGCCCTAAGTTTGATTCCTGGGAACACACACACACACACACACACACACACACACACACAGCGYTTTGAGGGTGAGAGTAATGATTTCTTATTATGGTTTTAATTTGCATAATTTGCATATATAAAACCCTATTGAACTAAAGAAGACTGAGGAAAAATTGTGAGGTATATTTCATTGTATTCTTATGAGTTAAGGAAGTGAGTCATATTCTCAGATTATCTAAAATGGTAATAATTTAGTCCAATTCAATTTGCCACGGAAGCATCTGTCAACATCCTCTAGGGATTCCAAGGTGTGTAAAACAGATCCCACCCATGGTGTGTTACTATTGAGCAAGAAAGGCAATTAGGTTAACCAAGACTTGTCATGGGATGTGTAAAGCCAAATATCCTGTGCTGGAGGAGTAAAGATGAAAYTAATTTGGCCTGAGAGGAAGCAGTATTGTAAGAGGGTACATCTTGAAGAAGGAGCAGGAGTTTTTCTTGGTTGGGTAGAGTTTGTAGAAAAGGGGAACATGAGAAACAAATACCCAGAGGAATGAAATGGCCAAGTACCAGCAGGGATCTGAGATGGCCAGAATGTGAGGTGGGGGAAAGGGGGAATGACTTGTAGCAAAGCAGAAAGTTAGTCAAGTGAAGATCTGGAGAACCTTATCAGCACTATTTGGGATTTACCACACATTGTGCTTGGCATGGGGCTGCTATACAAGAGGTGGAGGCAAGGAGACTCCTTGAGCCCAAGAAGTTCAAGGCCAGCCTGAGCAACACAGACAGACCCTGTTTCTTATTTTTTTTAAATGTAATTCAAACATAAAATAGAACATTGTATTAAGGGATGGGATTATACTCAGGGGTAGAGCACTTACCTAGTATACATAAGGTCCTGGATTCTCTCTCTGGTACTGTAAACAAACAAGTCAAATGAACAAACAAACAAAAAATCCAAAACAATTTGARGCTTTATCCTGTATCCTGGTAAGCCACCTAAGAATCTTCAAAGTATGAAAGTAACAAGATCAGATCAGAAGATATGATATGATTAGAACAGAAGTTTCTGGCCTTGAACTCCTTTGGCAGTCTGGTAAAGCATATGAATTCCTCAGAATATAATTTTTAAATGTTTAAATTAAAATACATAGGAAATATAAGGAAATATAAATAAAAGAAATCCAATAACATTGAAACAGAATATTTTTAATCGTGATATTGGCTCCGGTATTAGCACATTTAAAAAATCTAGTGGTAGGTCTAATATTATTATAATTTCAAAGTGGAAATGAGTGTAAGAGATGTCTTAAAATAGACACATCAACTGTAATGTGAGGTGAAAATATCTGTAATTTTTGTTGGTGATAGTCATAAGCATTGTTAATGCTATGGCTTGTTGCTTATATTCATAGTAAAAAAAATACTAAATTTCACTTATATGTAAGTGAAAATACCCCAMGGATTCTATACATTTCTCCCAGAGACCCCATGAATTCTATGTATTTATCTCAGGTTACATCCTCAGTAAGTAAAAGAATACCCCTACTGATAGACTGGAAGGAGGGATAAGCTAGAAGGAGGGGCAGACCAGTTAGGCCATTTCAGTGGTCCAGATAAGACTGAATAGAGACTACAGTAGTGGAGTATAGGGCAGTGGTGGTATTTGGGAATTGAATCCAGATGTGGGTTGGGGGAGAGTTAGGGAAGTGCTTGGGGGAGTGAGAGAGAGGAATGACTAAAGGAGCTCACTGAGGTTTCTAGCTTGGGTAAGAGAGAGGATGGCACACCAAGACATACCAGCTTGTACCTGTATAGCAGGCTACTAATTGGTCTCCTGTGTCTTCCTTTGCCCCACTAGGGCCTAATTTCAACAGAACAGTCCAAGTGTACTCTTTAAACATAAGTAAGATCACATAATATCTCTGTTCAACATCCTGTGATAGTCGAAGTCCTTTTAATAGTCATTATGGCCCCACATGATTCAAATTTCCATCCCTGTTATTGTTTTGAATTTGGAAGTACTGGGGATTGAGTCTCATTTCCTGTCATTCCCCTCACCTCCATTCACTGACTTCCAGCTGCTCTCGCTCTTCTCAAACATATAAGAGGATGCTCCTGCCTTGAACCTTTGCACTGACTTTTCCATCAGCCTGGAACGGTCTTCATCTAGGTGGTCACACACTAATTCCCTTAACTTATTCAAGTCTTTGCACCCTTAACCTCCTTCAGTTCACCCCAGTTGAGGCCTACTCTTGACAACCCTATTTGGAAAAAAGCCTCTCAGGGGCTGGGGGTGTAACTCAGTGGTAGAGTGCTTGCCTAGCAGGCACAATGAACTGGGTTTGATTCCTAGCACTGCCAAAAAAAAAAAAAAAAAAAACTTATTCTAGATAGCTGGATGGTCTGGAGGTCAGAGGAAAGATGATTGTGCTARAATCTAGACTTGGAAGCCAATTACCGTGAGGTAGTTGTTGGCCAGTGAGACAAAATATATTTCTAAATTTGATTTTAAAAACATGAATTAGGCAGGTAGAGTGTCTCATGCCTATAATACCAGTGACTAGGGAGGCTGAGACAGGAGATTGTAAGTTCAAGGCCAGCCTTAGCAACTGAGGGTTAATACTGAGGGTTAGCTCTGTATTAAAAAATAAAAATATATGCTATGGATTTTTATAATATTTTGGTAACGATACTGTTTTAAAACAGTGGTGTTTTGTCATAATGTTTTTTTGTTTTGTTTTGTTTTGTTTTATATTTTCTAATCGATCTAATCACAGGCACTAGTTCAAATTTCCATGAATTGTTGCATGCTTTAATTCTAAGCAATCATATATTAAAGAATACTGGGCTAGGGGTCTAAGAGAGTCATACAAGGTGACGTACATGCAAAGTTGCAAAATTCTACCTTGTGTATTTGAAGGAATATATAAAAATGTGAATCAGTCACATTGTATAACACATTTAATTTAGAGGACATACCTAATCTATTGAACAAAAGCAGAGAGCTAGGTGTGAGAGAACATTAAAGAGAGTAGGCACTCATATCTGCTGTTCTCTCAACTAGTATCTTTTTCTTTGTAAGCGTGAGAAGCAATGCTTGAAGAGCCTATTCCATTAGTTGGTGTTAGTTTTCACACGCCTCACTTAAAGTAAGCATTTCACTGTGCTAAGTGATATTCTAGGGCCCTTCATAAACTTTTAAAATCAACTTGTTAAATTTCTTTAAAAAGTGCTTCAGAGATTTTCACTAGGATTTCATGGAATTTATAGACTGAGAATATTTATCTTTAA